CAAGTTTATGCAGACTGTTTTTACAAACATTTGTGAAAGAACGGGTCGCTCTCAGGAGCTCTTTGAATTCCAGGGAGGACCTGTGATAGGATGCCCCCTGTGCAACAAATCCAGTCGTGAAATTTCCTCACTCCTAAATATTCCACAGTCAACTGTCAGCTGTATTACGTGGAAGTGTTTGGGAACGACAGCAACTCAGCCACATAAACTTGTCCAATATCAGTGTGTGATCTCACAAATGTGCTTCTGGAAGAATGGTCCAAAATTCCCATAAACACACTCCTAAACCTTGTGGACAGTCTTCCCAGAAGAGTTGAAGCTGTTATTGCTGCAAAAGGTGGACCGACGTCATATTGAACCCTATGGATTAGGAATGGGATGTCACTTACAGTAAGTTCATATTCGAGTAAAGGCAGGTGAGCGAATACTTTTGGCAATATAGTGTATATCAAGGATCACTGACATCCAGGCTATGGCCCACCACCAGGTTGTGGCCTATTTGGAATTGGGCCACTTGAGTGACTGGCTGAACATGTGCATGCCTGCGGCGGGCCAACAGGCACTCGGGCACGTGCGTGCCAGCCTGCTGCTCATTCAAGGGATGCCATTATACTTATATTCTACTTATGGGCTTTCCATAGCTATCTGATTGGTCATTTTAATTACATAACATGGGATTAATTCTTAAATTTGATACAATGTATATAGTTTTCATTTATTTAAACATACTGTATTATAATAGTTTCCTTGAAAATGTTTAAAAAGATGTATTCATATCCTAAATTTGGTCTTTTAATATAGTTCTTCTGTCATTAATTTAAAAAATTAAATTAAAAACCTATGCCAGGCCTCCTTTCTGATATACATAAGCTTTAACATAATGAACAATGTGTTTTCACACAACTAACTTCAGATATGTTGTGGGATAAAATAAGGAGAAGGTGGTCTGTATGTGTAAGTTGAGCTTCTAAATGTAAGGCAAGTTATCAGTCAAATAAACTACCTGTAATCTGGTGAATTAGCCCACTGCACTAACTTCAGTCATCAACATATAAATATTTTCTGTCTCCTGTGCAAGTTGTAATTGAGACTTAAATTTACAAAGATTGCTCTCTAGTGGTCCTGTAAATGCATTGCATGTATATAATATATGAAAATATGTTTATATGTCAAATACAAGGGTTCTCCAAATGCATATTGGATCTGCAGTTAATTATAATTTGTAAACATATTTGTTTATGACTAAGTTTTAATTATAAGATTATTCAATTTTTAAAAATATATTGTATCATTTCAAGATTTTATACAATTTACAGATAAGAATGGCAAGCCACATGTCCAGGTATTTGTCAAGAGTCAACACTGACTTGAAGGTGCTTCTCCACACAAAAAGTATATATAATTAGTTTTACTGTAATAAGAAATTAGAGAAAGTGTTTATATAAAACTTCAGATTGTTCATATTATAGAAAGGGACACACCTTTCATATATTTATGAACTCAAATAGACTCCTATTAATTTTAGACAACTCATATCCCCGCCCCCAGTGCCCTCCAAAAAAACCAGGGACCCTTCTCTCTTCCCAAGAATTCAAGCACCAAAATTTTAGATTTAAAAAAAATAATTTTAGAATATTGATAATTCTTCATGTATATACTTGGAATATTTTTCAAAATTAGACTTTTGGGATTTTTGGATTGATTATGTGCTAGCAAGTTATAGCAACCACATATAATTTTTTCTCATGACAGTTGCCCCTAACATGGTCCTTCAGGACTTCCAATGATGCATTCATCACCATTGTAATTGACTTTATCCATCTTTCTGCTTGGCCATACTGTTCTCTTCCAGCTTCCCTAACATTAAAGTCTTTTCCAAAGAGCAAAGTCTTTACATGATGTGTTCGAAGTAGAGTGATTTTGGGCCTGGTCGTTTGTGCCTTACATGAGAACTTTGGGTTGATTTATTTGATAATCCATTTGCTTTATTCCCATTAGGACTTTGAATTGCTTCAGTGCATATGGGAGGGTAGCACCAATTTACAATTCTGAAAAAAGAATGTGCTTGATTAAAGATTTAGAATTGGAAATTGGAATTGGAAAAGTTTATTTATAGGCCGCCCTTTTCCCTGGGGGGACTCAGGGCGGCTTACAACTCATAGGGAAAGGGGATACAAACAATGACACATAAGCACAATACATAATTAAAAAGAACACAACATTCATACCATTCAGGTGGGGATGGATTACAATCTTTAGCCCCAGGNTTTATTTATAGGCCGCCCTTTTCCCTGGGGGGACTCAGGGCGGCTTACAACTCATAGGGAAAGGGGATACAAACAATGACACATAAGCACAATACATAATTAAAAAGAACACAACATTCATACCATTCAGGTGGGGATGGATTACAATCTTTAGCCCCAGGCCTGACGGGATAGCCAGATTTGCAAATAGGTGCTACTCTTCATGCATTCTAAAGCATCTTTTTGCCTTCAATCTCAAACACTCCATAACTCTAATATCTGCACTTCAAATGAAACCCTAAGCTTAAAAGAGTGATTTCAATTAAGACCTCTAACAAATTTATAGCACTAATTGTGGACTCTGTCATTTGAACTGTAGCACTGTTACCACTTTCCATTTTCCAAATAATTTGAATATAATTGTTTTAGTGTCTATGACACTAGATCATTGAAAACATGAGAGTATCATGAGGTGATTAGTGGTCTCTGAAGCTGACCAATAGGAAAATACAGAAATCCTCAGTCAGTGCCTTCCTCTCCAACTACGTTGGTTCATGGAATAACCAAATAACCCCATTACTGCTCTACACAAAAACAGGGAAAATAAAGTTGTAAACATTGCCTCCATTTTTTGACTATATGTATATGTTTCATTTCATATGTTTTGCAAAAAAATTAGTTGTTACGAAGAAAAAGTGCAAAACATCAAGATGACATTCTTCTAGCATATACATTTCTATTAAAAGTAGTGATGATGGTATGGAACCATAGCATCACAGTATAGATTTGTTTGAACTCACTGGTCAGGAGAGTGCGGTGGCTCGGTGGCTTAATGATACTGGAGATGGTCTCAGCTCCAGTGGTTCAAGCCCTGGCACTGCATGTCAGGGTGAGCGCCTGTCATTTATCTCAGCTTCTGTCCACATAACAGTTTGAGAGCATGTTCTATACAAATGAAAATGCTTTCAAACAGATAAGTAACATTTTGGTGGGGAGACGAGCTGATGCTCTGTACAGGCAGTCTGATTCCTGATGGTTCTGACCCTTCCCAGTTGTGGCGCCCATTTGCAAGACAGCTCTGTGAAAGGAGGGGGCCTTGGGTGACACTGCAAGAAGTGCAGCTTATCTTTCTCTTTGGTGTGAAGCCAGCTCATCCTTGTGTGTGGCACACTTTGGGAAGCGCACAAGAATTTCCTGTAACAGGGCTGGTACCTTGGCAATCCAAGCCACTACTATGCAGTAGTATTGTGGTCTCCTGGCTACTGTGGCAACACCATATACTAATAACAACAATAACTGGCCAGAGATGGGTTAAGATAAAAGTTCAAAACATATGGTTTATATAAGCAGGTAGAATTAAGCCAGGAATTTTTTTAAACAGGGATTGTGACATTGACTAAAATATTGAATCTGTGTTCATGAATAAGGTTGTCTATGAAATCTACTGGGATCTTGATGTGCAGAGAATAGGAGGAAGAATGAAGGAAGAGTTTCTACCCAAGGGAAAATAGACTGCTTCCAAATGTGCAGAGCAGATCATACAGTGGACATTTTGCCATGTGGCACAGCTTATATGCCAATGCCAGATCAGTGCAGTTCTACATGGGCAGGTATCCTAAACCTTTTAGCAGCATTATGCCCATAGTTAATTATTGTACCTTAATAGATACATAGAGTATAGAGTGGACTGTTGTTCAAAGTACCTGTCATTTGCCCTGAGCTGAGCTGATGACTTCAAACAGAATAATGACTGTTGTTAAAATATTCAAGTAACAAATTGCTGTAATAATTTGACCATAGAAAATAGAGCATCTTATTTTCTTACCTGTGTTTCTGCAAACTCAAAATGTAGTTCATTCCATTCAGGATGTTGAAAATTGTTTATGTTCTGAACTCTGCTCTTAAAGCATCTATTTTTGTTTGCTCATTTTCACAGCAATTGCTGCCTCATGTCCGCATTTGGGATTCCGTTACTTTGAATACACTACATGTAATTGGCATGGGATTCTTTGATCGAGCTGTTACATGCATTGCATTTTCTAAATCAGTGAGTAATATTTAATGTATATTTAATTTGCTTTGTAAGCTTTTCAGGGCCAATTATAAGTTTTTCTAAATTAAGACTGCTGGATGTCTATGGAGATTCTCAGTCATCCAGATCATAGTTGTCTCAAAGGTGCTTTTTCAAAAGGCAACTGGACTATGTTGAGACTGCTGGAAATTCTTCTTTTGTAACGAAATGCATTCTTGGGTAACTTAAGTGTGGGTTGTATAGATTTTACAATGGATGGTATATAATACTATTTGTTTCTAGATATTCTATCTGAACAATATGAATTAGTTTTGTTTGATTGAAATCTTTACTTAATTAAGGAAGTTTTAAGTATAAGAACATAGTTTTCAAACATATAAATGTTGTTACATAATATCACTAAATAACTATCTGTATATTTTTCCCATTTCTTTACTTTTATTTTGGGATATGAGAAACATTTAGATGAAGAAAACAAGCCTCTCTGTCCCTTATTCCATTGTGTTTTTCTCAGTAGAAAAACTCAACTGCTCAACTGGAAGACAAGCTGGAATTAGCTGAATGCAGAAAGAGGGTCAGGTTATTTCATTTGTTTTAGAATTCACACAGTTTGGGTTTTACATTCAAATACATAGTTGTTTAAGCAATTTGATCTCAACATTCTCAAGATACACCATTTTTTCAGGCAAAGTATTCATAATATCCTAAGTGCAAAACTGTAACTGGAAGATGAGTGCTTGGTTTTGAAATAGCAAACAAATGAGGGATGATGGAGTACCTCATACTTTATTTCAGAATGGGGGCAGTAACCTGTGCTCAGTGGATGACTCCAATGACCATGTGCTTTCAGTATGGGACTGGCAGAGGGAAGAAAAAGTTGCAGAGGTCAAGGTATTTTGCTTTTGTGTGTTGTACTTGAGACCAGAAGGTATTTTTGTGTGAGTGTGGTAAAAAAAATATCCATAATATTTCGCCTTCATTCCAACTTCTTGTTGATGTTGATGTGACCACTAGTCCTGCTATTAAATTGTTTTCCTGTTTAAATGTATCCATTATAAATGAATGCTATGGGAGAAAATATCCTGCCTCTTCTGTACATCTGTAATAAGGCTTACTTATTAGTGGAAGAAATCATAACAAACTTGTTCTGTATGGATAAATTGGAAATGAAGAAAACAGCACTATTCATAGCTCTCATTTCTAAACTGTGCCAGGACCTTATGGGACCGTATAAGGTGCAGATTTATCTTATAAATATTTAAGGTGCAGATTTATCTTTTTTGGTGTAAAATCCAACACTTACAACAATCCAATAACTTAAGATTCATGTATGAAAAATCATTATAAATCTTTAAACAATCCTTATTCATTTGTACGTGTAAGTAGACTGTATACGTAAAAGTTATGTTCTTTTAAGACATGACACATTTTTCAAACCTTTTCATGAAGTATTTTGTGTTTATTTGTTTTAATTTAAATATGAAAGTTACAGTGCACTAATATGGTATCAAACAAGTTCTTATAACTTAATATTAAAATTATTACTTCTATTTGCAAATTTAAAGTATTTTCTTCTTCTAGTGCTCTAATGAAGCAGTATTTGCCGCTGATTTTCACCCTACAGACACTAACATAATAGTTACATGTGGAAAATCTCATCTTTATTTTTGGACGATTGAAGGGAATTCTCTTATCAAAAAGCAGGGATTATTTGAGGTACAATGTTTATGTTCATTTCTTTTTTCCCCTTGCAGCCAGAGTATCATTAGAGGAATGTTAATATTCTATCTCCCAGTTTTGCTCTGCTGTCGTGCTGTTTCTTTAGAAACACAAAGTCGTAAACCGACAAATTCATTTCTTTATTTCTTTTGTATTCTGAACTCCCTAGCAACCTTCATCTTACTGTATGCTTTTATTTCTTTTTTCTTTTTTAAATCCCAGCAAAATGATATTTCTCGTTAGAAACCATAAAATCAGTAATTTAATTATTTTAAAGTATTAAGTATTAACTATCCACTTAATCATGATTAAGTGAAGTTTGTTTTATTCCTGTTACCTACATAGCTAAGAATAATTAAAACTCAAAACTAGAGTTACCTACATAATTAAGAATAATTTTAAAGAGTTCAAATTACTATATTATTAAAAACATGGCTATTTGATGATTGCACTATTAAGATATTGCTTTTGCTACTGTTGATCACGATCACTTTCTTATTTTAGTAATCTTTCTGTGCTTAATAGAATCGCATTATGCACATAGTCATACTATATCTTTTATTATTTCTTTTCTCTTTTGCTTGATAAATCTTAAAGTGGAGGTTCTCTCTTTCTCTGTCTATTTCCTTGCCATTTTCCTGAGCTAATATTTCGCATCATCTACTAAAGAGATATTTTGGTTTTATCACACTTGTTCATACACTTTTTTGTCAAATTTATATCACCAATTATCTTTCAAGCATCTTAGCTGATAGACAATGGCATTGATACTATATTGCTTTCTAGAAGCATCAAGTCAAGACCAAGGGAGAGAAAGCATATATACAATATAGGCTATTCATATCATGTATGCCTATACTTATACAGTTGTGCTACTACATTAAGATTGTAATACAACTTTATCACTTTTAAACAATAAGATTGTAATACAACTTTCTCACTTTTAAACAATGAACACAAGGCATTATTCTTTGAAAGATTACTGTATTTATTTATTTTTCTTCATTATCGAGGAAAGCAGTGTTTTTTAAAAAATTGTTAATACATTGATAACTGAACAGAATATATGAAATATATAATAAAAGTATATTGCTCATTGATATTCTATTTTATCATGTAGAAACAAGAAAAGCCAAAGTTTGTCTTGTGTGTGACATTTTCTGAAAATGGAGATACAATCACAGGAGATTCAAGTGGAAATATTTTAATATGGGGAAAGGGTAAGAAAAGAATGAACTTGCATAATAATAAATAACTTTAGAAATCTCTTTAGACATGGGCACAAAATAGAAGGTAAGACTTTGGGGAATGATCTTTGAGACATATTTTAATCCTATTTTTATGCAAAATGTTATTTTTCAAAATACTAAATAGGATTATATTAGGCTTATATTATATTATGGAAAGAAAGTATAGGTTACCTACATAAATTGCTTGGTTTATAAAAAAAACAACCCACCCACCCCATTTTCTGTAGATCAGAGGAAAATATTTCAATAGAGTACTTTCAGATATTTTCATAGTGCATCTACAACTTCTAGTCCTAGATTGACTAGACACAATAGCATTGTTCTTAATGTGTAAAAGGACAAATAACTCTTGAAATCTCTTTCTCTCCAATCTCTTTGCTTTGCAAAAGGGTGATGGTTGGAATTGACCAATTTCTGTAGGCAATTTTTCCTTTACATGACACACACACACACACACCCCGGGAGAGAAATTGAAGAGAAAGAGATTTCCTCAGATGAGACTGTTTGCTTTCTACATGTCCAAAGCAGTGCAATTGCACCAGCAGCAGGATAGGTCAGGCAGATGAATTGCCTATACAAATTTCTTGCTCCCCCCACCCATCCCTGCAAAACAAAGACATTGGAAACAAAGAAATTTCAAAAGAATACTATAAACTGTTTCTATAGCGTATTTGTGGCCAGCACAATTTCATTGTTTTCAGTATATACTGTATTAGAGCAAACAGCTTACTTTCTTGCAATCAGTTTCTCCAATCTTTCATCTCCACAATGGAGGAAAAAACAAAAAAACAACCGCATGTCTGGAACAAGACAAATATACATATTGTCTGCAATGGTGATCACATGGATGGGGGATGCTGTGAAGTTTGTAAATAAGTTGTAAGAGATTGAGCTGTTGCAATGGTTAGACTGCATTATTGCAGGCTAACTCTGCCCACAGCCAGGAATTTGATCCTGACAGGCTCAAGCTTGATGCAGCCTTCCAAGGTCGATAAAATGAGGAACCGATTGTTGGGGCAATATGCTGACATTTGTAAGCCACCCTGAATGCTGTAAAGCGTTATGTCAGCGTTATATAAATCTAAGTGCTATTGCTATTAAATAGGATAACCACTCAAGGCCCACTCCTTTAGGGAGTCTTAAGTGCAAGGAACAAACTGTTGAGCCTTTTCTATTGCGTTCCATTTCTTTGGAAAAGCCTATTATTTGAAATTAGACTTGCTCCAACCCTGTTTTGTTTCATATAAGTCATAAAAATCTGTTTTTTAAAGAAAGTCCTAAGAGGAGATCTAGGATGTTAGAAACCCAACCCTGCTAACTTAATATTTTTTCTTCTCAAAATGTTAACATTTCTTTAAAGTTCCTGACTAGAGAGAAATTATAGTGGCCACCACACTGTATTTCTTTTAGCAAAGGAAAACCTAAATGAATAAACCAATAAAATATTATTTTTAGTGAGCTTCTGTCCTCTTCTTTCCAGGTACCAACAGAATAAGCACTGCAATTCAAGGAGCTCATGAAGGGGGTATATTTGCCCTTTGTATGTTACGAGATGGCACCCTTGTGTCTGGAGGTGGAAAGGACAGAAAGTTGATATCTTGGAATAGGAATTATCAGAAACTTCACAAAACTGAGGTAATAACTTCAGGCTTTAAAACTTCCCTGATAATATTTTTGTTTTAAAGTATGTTCATCGTTTTACCACTTGAGGCACTTTTCCTTATTTCCTCTAAAAATATTAGTGTAATTTTCATTACCAATATCTGTATTCTAAGTACATATATTGATAACTTTTGATAAATCCCATAACTCACCTGTTTTGAAGAGGTCATATCTTTTGATGCTTATCCTACAAATTTGCCCTACATATTCCTATCCTTTGAAATATACTGTATTTTTAATGGCACTTTGCATCCAAAGATATAAGTACCTATTTTGCCGTTGCACCCTTGAATGATTGAATTAAGAGACTATATTTTCTAAAGAATTATCCTCTTTATTTGTGGGGGAATGCTTATCATAGTTCCATAGACCCATCAACTCTCTGTATAGATCTTGGAAGCTGGTGAATAAAATGCAGTCTGGACAAACAGATGGTTTTTCTTGGAAAATGTAAAAATTATGCATTTATTACATTTGGTCGTAACTACTTTGGATTTGTGACTGAGAGTGACTATTAATCTCTCATCTTTTCTTCAGTGTAAATTCTGTTTCTTAGGAAAGAATAGGAGGGGTCCTCAGCCGTGCTTGTGGAACTCTTAAAAAGGCTTTGTTTCAAACTAAAAAACTGGTCTCAACTTCATTGTGTTCTGCTTCTTCTAACAAAAGTTACTTCTGTCTTGCTTCCCAAAAGAAGTAACTGATTCAACTCAACTAGTATCTTACCCATCTCTTTCATATCTTTATATAAGCACAATAGGTTTGTACACTTGAAAAATAATTATATACACAGTCAATTTAACTATTTCATTTTTTTCTAAAACAGATTCTGGAGCAGTTTGGTCCTATAAGAACAATAGCAGAAGGGAAAGGTGACATTGTTTTAATAGGAACCACTCGAAACTTTGTGCTCCAAGGTTCTTTGTCAGGAGACTTTTCTCCCATTACCCAGGTAGTTATTATTTTTTACCATAATCTTCTTCTAAGACCCATGTTTTCAAAACATGTAAATTTATTATTTTTTAGAAAAATGCTGCATAATAAACCTGAACATTGCAGATGAGATAAGAACTTACTAAATACGTAGCAATTTTGTAGAAAGTCCATGTAACCCCAATTTACAGTTTTACAGACAGGGAACAGAATAGATTTTTAAAGCTGTTTTTCTCTAGTATTACCAATAAAAGGACCAGATGTGGAATTATCTGCACTTCATTTAAAGACAATAATCCTGGATTACTAAACACAGAAGGCCTAAGCCTTCCTTTATACAAAGCAGTAAATTAATTATGCATAAATAAATTAGCATGATATTTGAACCTTGAAATTATAGATTACTGCATACAGACAAGCCAGGATTATTTCTTTTTACCCAAACAAGTAGACTAATTATGCATGGCTAAATTAGCATTATATTTAAATGTTAATTTCAAATGTAACCTTTGGCCGAGATATAATCTAAGTGGTTTGTGCCTGGATTGTATACTAGCTTGCATATGTGTGTAAAACCAAGTGAAATTAAACATAATATGCATCATCAAATACCTTACTTATGTAATGTTTTGATAGGATTTCTGGCTTAATGATGTTATGCAAATTATTGTTCATCTTCCAAAGAAACGTTTCTATGTTCATTCAGGGCCATACTGATGAACTTTGGGGACTAGCAGCTCATCCGACCAAACCTCAGTTTTTTACATGTGGACAAGACAAACACATTATGCTCTGGGATGCGATCAGTCATCGTCCAATCTGGAACAAAACTATAGAGGTACTTTTTAAAAAAAAAATGGGGTGGAGTTAAAATATAATTTTGCCTTTATAACAAATTATTAAGTGAGAAATCGGGAATATTTTTAGAACTATCAGCTGCATTCACTTTGGACAAGCAAATCAAAGGAGAATCACTACTCAAAGTAGACAAGAACAGAATCATTGCTATTATGTATTTCACTGTGTCCTTTCTTGGATATTCACATGACATTCATCTCAATACAATGTTAATTCATCTCAATATACATTATATATCCACCAACTCATGCATTTACCTCTAGAATCATTTTCATATAAATCCTATAAATTCCCATTCAGACACCTGCTTCACTTACATAATATCAAAGCTTCCCAGTCATACAATTCGTTTCATGCTGCTTGTGACAAATTAAGCCCTTTTTCATCATGTAATACAGAAAGTTTTCCAGGTATTCACTGTCTGAATGAGAGAAGAATCGCCTCTCCCCATTTCCCTCTACTAGAGACTTTAGCAAGGAGAATTGACAAATCTTGTATTGTGGTGCACTCTCACTCTGTTCACAGTTAGAAAGATTTGACAGAAATGGTTCATTCAATTTTTCCATATAATAATGACTTTCCAATCAATTTGGATAGTCTGTTAGATACCCTTGTAGAGCATAAGGCCAACACTTTATGGACAACTGTCATGTAACATGCTGAGGATTTCATAACATGACAAGTTTTTAATTTCAAGAATGGCATGCTTCAACTTAAAAGACTCTTAACATTTGAAATATCATCCACAGCAATACTCTACAGGCATTCATCCAAACTTCATATACGTCCTGAGTGTTCACTTCTGAGACAAGTCAGCTAATTGTAAAAATCATGTTTAACGTATTTCAGTTTATTTTATTCTGAATGCTGAAAAAAACTGTTAAGTATTCATAGTTTAGTGCTTAACTAATAATTAGGTAACTATGATCGTTGATAGATTTATTTATTTATTTATTTGTATCCTGCATTTATTATTTTTATAAGTAACTCAAGGTGGCAAACACATCCAACATACTTTCCTCCACTTCTTTTCCCAAGAACAAGAACCCTGTGAGGTGGGTTGGGCTGAGAAGAGTGACTGGCCCAAAGTCACCAGCTGACTTTCATAGCTAAGACTTAGTCACAGTCTCCTGCTTTCCAGCCTGGTGCCTATAGTGAATTTATATACATTAAAAAGAAAGAAAGAAAGAAAGAAAGAAAGAAAGAAAGAGAAAGAAAGAAAGAAAGAAAGAAAGAAAGAAAGAAAGAAAGA